CCCCGCTTCCGCCGCTGCCACCGCCCCAAGGCCCCCCGCCCCCCTACCACGCCCACCCGCACCTGCACCACCCGGAGCTCACGCCCCACGCCCAGCCGCTGGCCCTGGCCCAGGCCACCGTGGACGACGACGGGGACGTGGACGACGTCGGGGGCAAGCACTGCTGTCGCTGGATAGACTGCAGCGCCTTGTATGACCAGCAGGAGGAACTCGTGCGGCACATCGAGAAGGTCCACATAGACCAGCGCAAAGGGGAAGACTTCACCTGCTTCTGGGCCGGCTGCCCTCGAAGGTACAAGCCCTTCAACGCCCGCTATAAACTGCTGATCCACATGAGGGTCCACTCCGGGGAGAAGCCCAACAAGTGCACGGTGAGTTTCGGAAGCCCAAGGGGCCACCTCTCTTGAAGGCTGGGCCTGCTATTCATGCATGTGTTTTTCCATGACATTTTCTTCTTTTTGGTGTTTGGAGTATCCACGTGATTGGACTCCTCTTCAGCTTGAGGAGCAGGGGAAGTTTTCTTTGATAGTTCTGACATTATCTCTCCATTTCTAGATTCTCTTCCTCAGAGGTACATGATCCATCGCAGCAGGGGAGGTCGAGCTGCCACACTGTCCAAAATCTTGGACAATGCCGGCCACTCACAAACTTGGGGTTTCCTTAATATGCATGGATGTGCAAGAGCAGAGGAACACACACTGCACCACCAGCAAGCTTTAGCTCTTTTCCAAGGCAAATATTCAGTGATTTTTCCGTCCAATGACTGGGCGAGAATTGGGGTGGGGGGAGAGGGGTCGCTCCAATATTTGGAAAGAAACTTACCACTTAGCAACTTTGGCCAGTAAAAATGTTGCCGCGTGCACCTACATACCTGCACACTGTACCTTCCAAGGTTGCCAGAGTAGTTAATGATTTACAGCCAGCGTAAAAACACCCAGGGGAATACCACAGGAGCAGAATCTCACAGGATCTCACCTAATTTTAAGGAGAGGGAATTTCACGGAGGGGTATAAGAGAAAGCCGAGAAGGGAAATGTGCCTTTGGTATTGAAGGAAGTGGGCCTGATGTCTTTATTTCTTCCTATCCTCACTCACCTAATTTTAAGGAGAGGGAATTTCACGGAGGGGTATAAGAGAAAGCCGAGAAGGGAATGTGCCTTTGGTATTGAAGGAAGTGGGCCTGATGTCTTTATTTCTTCCTATCCTCCCTTTCACAACATCCATTCTGGAACTCTCTCTGTTTCTTGGCAAAATTTACTATTTTTGAATAATATGATTCTTAAATGATTTCACAACAATTTCACACCTCACAGAAACCCTTCGGGTTTACAAGCAGGGCATCACCCCTGGGACCAGAGGATGGCTTTGCACAATCTCAGAGAGCTCACTTAACTCTCGGAAAAAGGAGAACATATGTTTTATATTAGTTTAGATGGACAAGAATATTTCTTTTAGTGTTAAAAATCTGAGAATTCTTTGTACTCCCTGAGTATTGAGTATGGTGCAGGTCACTAAATATGTGAAATATATAAATCAGTTTGAAAAGGAACTTACTTGGACTATGGTGTCCCAGTCAGAGACCCTTCTTTCTATAGTATGTTATGATGATTAAGAATCTGGACTGTGTTTATGTTTGATTGTAGATTGGCTAAATTGTCTGATTCATGTAAAAGCAAACCAAACAGGTGATAGTTGTAATGCAAGTATTGGAATCACTTTTTCACCATTCGGTGGGTATTTTTGAAAGAGTTTTAAGAACTTCTGGTGGAATGAAATTGCATTTCTTGTCGTTACAGTATGCCCCATGTTTTGATTTTTCTTAAAGGAAAACCTGAAACTGATACATTGTGAGAATGCTAGGTTATATGAGTGAAAAGAATAATTACATTCCAGGCGGCAAAACCTTACTCTGTCGCTAGGGTTCTGCATTAAAAATGCCAGAAAGAGACAAGCAATTGAAGGCAATTCCATTTACTCTGTTTGGAACACACCAGCCTATTGCGAGCAGAAAAAACATTCAGTCTCAGAAGGAAAACAGTCCAACCTTTTAGTTCTGACTAATCCTGGCTGAAAATAATTTACTGGATTTGGCTTTACTGAAATAAACATAAAAGCTTGAATTATCCAGAAAAATATTTTTTGCATTGCAAAATTAATTTTTGTGCAATAGGATTTCCCCATTCTCTTACTATTCCCAGACTTTGCAAAGACGTATAACTTCATAAAGTTGACTTTTGCTAAAGTGCATGGTGAATATTAAAAATAAAAATAGTACAGTGAAAGAACAGGCTGAGAGATGAATGCTCGCAGGCCTCTGCATAGCTTTTCATTGTAATGTTCAGGATGGTTAGGGGAGGCGATTTTTCTCTCCTACTCTGTCCACTCCCCACTTTACACGGTCTCTTGGCAAAATTCAGATTGCTAATTTAATAGCATATGAAATCTAGATCCTCAAAGCATTTACTTACGTATGTTATAATGTAAGTACACGAGGGTACTTCAAAAAGTTCGTGGAAAAATAGAATTGAAAGATAATATGAATCTTTCTGTGAACTTTTTGAAGTTCCCTCGTATATTTATACAAAACAGCATTTCTTAGGAGCTGGCTAATGCTGCAGTTATTATCCTGGGATTATATATTTTTATCAGGAAGACGTCTATTTTCATATAAACATTCATATCATGAGCATTATGTCGTCTGAAAACTGTTGTGTGGCTACATGTCATCTGCTTGATTTGTAGAGCCAAAGCAAACTGGCGGGAATTAATTTTTGCTGTGAAAGTTTAGCAGTTCTCTCAGGTTGTACTCCATGGATAGAAGACATTATGCTTAAAATGGA